TGGATGCTTGTATTACAATTAAGTAGAGGGCTCCACGCGCCAACCATCCTCAGCATTGTTTATCTTTGTTCCTTGTTCCTTCTCCTCTTTGTTGTTGTTCCTTCTCTTTGTCATCATTCTTCCTTCTCCTCTTTGCTGGTGTCGAAGAAAAGATGTGCTTTTTTCATGTGCTTTTTTCTTGACACTTGAATCGAAAGTTTGGCGCCTGTTTAGGGCGCGCCTGCTCCCGAGACTGGAAATGTTAAGTCAAGGATTCCGATGAAAAAATATGTCAATTACATAAATGTTGGTAGTAGAGGGCCCACTACTACCAAAATTTATGTTTTTTTTACATAAACCGAGCCGGGCGTGCCAAAAAGTACACAGATATATGTTTTCGGGAATGAACCATTAGTTTTACCACTATCAATAGGACTAGTAATAGCAGTACTACTAGTAGTAGTATTATTCAATACTAGTAGCAATATGGAGAGGTCTAGGACCATGATCCTCTCTTGGATGGTGCTGGCACTGATTCTTCTCACTGGACAACAAACAACTTGGTGATTGCTTCTTGTTGTTGTTCTTTCTTGCTTCTTCTTCTTGTTCTTGCTGCTGCTGGTGGTGGGTCAACGAGCCGCCTCCATCACTTCTTACTACTACTAGGACTACTAGTAGTTGTTCACATATGTCATGATACCTTGTTACTGCTCTGGAATCAGTAGCATGAGGAGAATATGGATCCATTCACAGCATACCATGCATACATCAGTTTTGCTCGTCCTCAGAGCTTGTTCTTGTTCTTGTTCTTGTTGTTGCTCTCTTGCTCTACAAGTAGTAGATGGTCACCATACTAATATGGGTGTCTTGTTTCACTGAGATGAATACATATGCCAAGAAGCAGTAAATTACTAGACCTAATAGTACTTTGAGCATAAGAACTGGTCTAGATTACTACTACTACTAGTAGTAGTAGTACTAGTAGTACTATGTCACCATTTTACTGACAAGAACAACTATCATACTACTACTAGTAATATCTAGCTAGTATCATTGTTGTAAAAAATTGGCAGAACAATTTGTTAAATAAAATCAGGTGAAAATCATTGCCTTCCTGCTCTGCACCATGCTGGAATCAGTTTCTCATGTCATTCCATAGAATGCACAAAACTCCTTGTTGCAGAAGCAAGGGGGGACAATGCTTCTCCCCTTTTCTATGCCCCCTGGATCATAGTGACTCCTGAAATCACCACTTGCTTGGTAGTACAAGAAGGGTTTTCTTTCACAACTTCAACATTGACAGCAATAGCTAACAAGATTAATAACAAGATCAAGAACAATGACAAGATCAGCAACAACAACAGCAACATGGTATTATAAAAATAGTAGTGCAAGTAGTAGTACTAGTAGTACAACTAGTAAAGTAGTAGTTAGCTACTAGTGCATCTTTCAATGTTCTTGCTATTTGGTATTTATGATCATATCCACCCCTTTAAATCTCTACATGATTACTAACAATGTCTTCATCAGCACTATCTAAAAATAATTTTCCAAAAATAATCTCAATTCTCAATGCCCTGCCTACTACTAACACCATGTTGTTATGCTACTACTATGTTGGTTAGTAGTATTGACAAGCAAAATATGTCCTAGTAGTAGTAGTAGTACTAGTAGTTTTCACCTAGTGGAAATGAAGGCTTGAATTAAAAAAGTAAGAACAAAGTAGGGTTGATAGTACTAATAGTACCAGTTGTACTAGTACAATGCCTCTTTACAAACAGCAAGCATACTACTACCAGTAGTAGTACAACTAGTAGTTGTTMCTCACTCCTCTCCATAGCACTATTTTTAGTAGTACGAGAAAGCCACACAAGAAGTTACTCATTGTTCCAACTAGTATTTTCTGAATTTGCCATCTGAACCTACGATTTCAAGTAGGGTTAGTAATTGTACATCACTGGTAGCAATTACTTCTTTGCCTATCTTTGGACATGTCAGTACTGGCATAATCAAAGTCCTGCCTAGCACTGTGTGCTGCTCCTACTACTACTAGTAGTAGTACTGTTGGGAGTAGTACCTTCACCAAAACTTTTGTGCTCCCCTACAGGATGAGTGTTCTGACATTCTGTCAGTATGAGATATGCAAAGGAGGAGGGGGGGGGGGCTTTGAAAGTTACCTAGTATCTGGTGATAAAACAACCTAGTAGGAGTACTAGTGGTACCCAAGGTTAATACATGAATTAGTGCTCACAAATAAACCACATTTATAGACCAAATTTCAAACCCTAAAATCAATAATGATAGTGTTGTTCTTCAAGAAAGGACAWCAAAGCATATTGAGTATTCAATCTCAATAACTGAGATCTCTGGTTCTCACTCAACTTAATAGCATTGGCTACTCAAAAAACATTAAGAATACTATATATGTACACCATGTGTAGCAATTAATATCTTCTTTATGACCCCCCCCCCCAACTCCCCCCCTCCATGACTAGAATCCTGCTT